GTGTAATATTTAGCTAGTCAGGGCGGGCGAAGCGCTCCATTCATCTCTCCGTGCTGCTAAGGCCAAACACAGCTCACTCCCATTTATCTCTTCAGACTCGGCTGCAGGCTCATTATTGCTCCAAATGAGTCTGGGTGAGAGTTTTCCAGGAGTCCTGTTGTGATGAAGTGCAATAATTTACTTTAATTCACCGTTTTTTCAGTGGACCGAAGAACTCTGCCTCAGTTAGACATCTTCCAGAATGCACTTCCTTACCAATTTCGAGAGAATGTTGTGAACATGTTTCACTAAGCTGTTAATTACATGGGCAGGAGGTTTGTAGTGCACCCTTTATTGAAAATAATCCACGTGCTACTGCGATGCTGTCTGTACGGTTGAGTTCAGAAGAAGTTCTGCCTCCCTCTTTGGTGCTAAGGAAGCCTTACCAACATTACTGTTTTCTGCTATCAACCACAGAACTAAGCTATTGCTGCATCATATAGCAGTGTTTCCCATTAATTGTGCCAAGAATGTGGTGGCCCGCCAAAGTCTAACTAGCAGCGCCACAGTTTCATAATGAACAGAAATATATGATTCACTTCTCAACGGCTGGCTGACTCTGTCCGGCGCATTTCCTCACAGCAACTGGCTCTAGTTCGGCTCGGAAAGTGAAAGTGGCTCATTGGATTATAATTATTGGTCCGTTAATGTGCGACCTCTTTAATGTTGCAGCCGGTAAAGGTGGGGCTTATTTTAACTACTTTATATACTTAGTGATTAGGCTATTAGACTACTTAATCATACATCATCATTTAGTAGTTGATTTATATTTTGTATTGGGAGTCTGAATCTGAAAAAGTAGCCTAACTAGTAGCTAACATTGTCAAATAAATGTAGTGAAATTAAAAGTACAATATTTCCGTCTGAGAAGTTTTTAAGATATAGGAAATGGAAATGCTCAAGTAAAGTCTAAGTACCTTAAAATTGTACTTAACTACAGTACTTGAGTAGCCTAAATGTACAGTGCTAGGACAGGAGCACAACATTCTTACCAGAGCACAAAGTTCTTCATAGATCTAGCCTCTTCATTGTGCTCCCAAAGGGCACCAGATTGATGCATTTATCTTTCAAATGAACACAATTTTGCCCCAGAGCGATATGAGAGTAGTATTGATTTGGTCATCTAACTCGGCATGAAAACAGTTTACTGCTGTAAATAAAAAAAAAAATGTTGTCTTCCACATTATCCTATCCTGTTCTGCAGTTGCGTGTATCTGTGTTTTTGTAATCCAACAAGTGCATTTAGGTCGGTCTATATTTAGACACTAAAGACAAGTACAGTAAATGTTAATGTGCTTTCATTAGGCCCTTGTTCACTTACTCCTTTCCTTCCTTCATTTCTTTGATTCACTCTTCACTTCCCCTCCTCCCTACTGCCCTGCCAGTCTCCTCCATTCATTTTCTTAAGATTAGAAAAATATGAAAGGGCAACTGAACAATCAAGCGAGCGCCACTCCTTTCCTGCGTGTGTTTGAAAGATCACCCGAGCTAAATACGCCTCCAACGACCAATCCAACAGCACAAGATGACGGCATATAGGAAACTGATCGTCCTGAACCCACACACTGACACGCACAGTGCCAGGACAGCATACTGTACATCTCCACCCTCTGCCGCTTGGCTGTGACCCAAACCGGCCAATCGTGTGCGGAGGACAGGAGAGGCGAGGAGACGTAGCCTCGACAGAAGAAGACTTTAAAGGACACAGACACATCAGAGAAGTAGAACAAAGAGACCTTCAAACTGTTTTAGAGCCATTAGAGAAAGAGAAGGAGGGGGACACTTAATACCCCCGTGAAACATGGGACAGCTCTATAACTCTGTCTACGGCGCCTCGTAATATATCCTCTGCGTACATCAATGAGATAACACTCTCCCTTTTCTACTCCTCCACTATCGCTCCATCCTGTTTCCGTTTATCTCTCTCGCTCTCTCATTCTTTGTCTTTCCTCCTCATTTAGTTGTTTCATATTTCTGTGCCCTGGAGAGGGCAAAAATGACGAGAGAGATACATTTTAGCCACTTAGCCGACAGACTGACACCCTGAGGGACTTGTAATCAGTGAAATTTTAGAATCTACAGAAAGAAGAAGAAGAAGAAGCAGCAGCACTGAGAAAATGGAAAGAGAAAAAGAAACAATAAAACATGAAAGAGGAATGAAGTCCAAATGCACGAGGGAGGGAAAAACATAATTTATGAACAGAAAAGCAAAAACAAGTAGAACATCAATAACACACACAAGTCATACCAAATGTCTCAAAGTGCAAATAAATAAAGGCAGAGCTGGGCCAAGAACGTACACAACAAAAATAGTTGCAGTAATCATAAATCTCAAAACACAAACACACAGCGAGGGCGAACTTCCAACACAAACCAGCATGTGCAACCGCCAGCAGGCCACTGACACACACACGCACACACACACACACACACACACACACACACACACACACACACACAC